AGGTGGGTCACCTGGTCATAGAAGGAGATTTTTATATTTCCTAAATTTTGAGAGCTTGACATCAGGATTTTTTGGTTTCATTGTTTATTTTTCAACATACTTGTATGAAACTACACATGTGTGAGGAAATGTTTCCTGAGTTTGTAAAAAAAGCAAAATGAATAAAATTAAATTAGATAAACTGTAATGAGATTGTCACCTACACAACTCATGAGGAGATCAGGAACTTCTACCCTCCTCATAAGCCCTCTAACCACCTACTTTATTTTTTACTAGAATAAAATTCTGTGGACTACAGGAATTAAATTGAATTGATCACTTTTTTATTTCTATCTGACCAAATTAAGAGGTTTGAAATGAATTGTACACTTAAAAAAAATTTTAACTGAGAATTTTTCTTCCAACACTATATTCAATATTTTAATACTACAGTGTCTAATTACATTTGCTGATTCACTATGTGAAAGCAAGATATATTCAAAGAAATGCTTCTACTTGGCTAATAAGCAGAAATCATCCATGATTGCTTTCCAACACAAAAGGTGTACAAAAAAATATTACTTGCCAAGGTTGGTATGTCATGTATTTGTAGTTCCAGAAATTTTTTCCTGAGGGGTTTGGATGAGAATTCTATGCATATACACTGGCAATTTGTTTCCACTGAAAAAATGCAATACAGTAAAAAGATGAAATAAAAGCAAACTAAATAGAAGTCTAGAGACAAGGCAGCTGATCTTGCAGCACTCAAATAATGACCTGACATGTACACTCTGCAGCGTTTTGCAAAACAGATTGTACGCAAAGATGAGCAGATAGAAACCTAACTAGCACGGTCATTGTAACCATCATGATATATGTTTAAACTCTTTGCTGCTTTAGTCCTTTGCAAAATTTTTAAATTGGAGGAGATACTTTAAACAGTACTTTTTAAATGGAAGGCAACAGAAAGGAATCCACATCTAATAATAAGGAGACCTCATAATCGAACATAATGAACAAATGGACAGGCCACATTTATTCCTCCTGAATATTAGCACATCATAATATTGCATAATTTGGTTTATATTTTATTTATTTTATTTTTATTAAAATCAACTAAAATAAGGTTCTATATTCCTTCTGAATATCACTATTTGAAATTATCGTGAAATTTATGATTTAGAGTGCTGTCTGGCAATCCTGAAAGCGCACCGTAATCCTTTTGCTGGGTAGACGGATAATGTTATAGAAATGGAGAGCTTATAGGTTTACTTCAGCTTTCATGTGATGTAAAAAAAATCTACAATGTTTTTGAGATGAGAGAGCTTGTCAGACCTTAGTAGCAAGCATCACCCATTCCATAAAAGTGACAGCAAGTATTACCAGCAGAGAAGCTGTTGCCCTCATGCCCTACAGCAAAGTCACTGTCTGTCTATTATTTGACAGGCAGGGTAATAAGGGAATATGTTATGCTGGTGGCAAAACTGACACAATTGCTGGAGAGTCCTGTGACTAGTATGAGCAAAATGGAAGTAGCATGTCCGACACTTGTGATAGATAGCAATTTAAAGCATACGTTTATTACTAAACTAAATTACATCTCTTGTACTGCTGACATCCAAAAGTGTTTAGCAAAATCTGAAAATAAAATCGTTGTCAGCAGTATGTAACTTTCCCTGAATATCTAAAACTGAAATTCATAATTAGAAATAAAAACTAACTCAACCATTATATGCTATGCACTATAATCTCTCCCATCACTGAAACAGTGTAATTTACCTACCAGTTGTTTTCAAGGCCCAATACTGCTATAGAAGTTATTGTTGGGACATTTTAAAATTTATATTGTAACAGTGATTTAAAGTGGATCAAAACAGATGAACAAAGTTGAAGGAATGAAAACTAAACAATAGTCTCCTTGGCCAAAGCTGGAAATTCAATTCCATTTTGCTACTATAATCCATACAAGAAACTTCACTGTGACACACCAAAAATTGGATTTAGTGAGTGACTGAGGGATTGAAATTGCTGGTAGCTCAGGTTTGCAATTCATCCACAGGTCAGGCAGAGTGCAGCAAACAAGACGCTTTCTCCATGGTTTTCCTCTGCTGAGCTCTAAGTACCCATTTGAGAGATTACTCCCTCTAGTGAGGGGTAGAAAAAGCCTTTATCATACCAGCTCGTCCTGGCTGTGAAAAGCTGTGCAAAATCGCAGATATGGAATACACAGTCCTAAAACCATACAGAATATAATATTTGAAAATTATTAAGTCCATAAACAAAGCCCTAATCCTTTAAGTAATGTGTTCACATTAGGAAGGTCTGTAAGGAGTTTAACTCAGCACCATGCTGTTTAATTTCGGTATGCAGTATAGAATAAAAATTTTTAAAAAAGCTACACAAAAAACTTTTTAAAACACAGAGAGCAATATAGCTTTTTCAGAGAAATTTCTCTGCACAGGTCCGTAGGAAAGCTATGGGAAAGTGACCAAACAAAACCACAAGGAGTCCCCATAAGACAATTTTTCAGTATCTTTCATATTCATCACATTTTCGCTTGTAGACAATGCAAATTGCCTGTGCTTGAAAATGCAACAGACTTTATTTAAATTTACTTATTAAAAATCTCTATCAATGAAAAAGAAAATGAGAGACAATAACAAGCATTTTTAAAATTTGTAATCATCACTAAGATAACACTATATATAACCATTCTAATGATAAACTTTGTTTACTCTTCAGAACGCTGTATTTTTCAACATGCACCTTAAAACTAACACATACCCTGTGCTAAGTGAAGTCAGTCATACTAAATTTACATGACAAAGTATTTTCAAAATTTCATCTGGTACATAGCGTGCTAATCTCCTGGAAAACACATCTAGAAATCACAAATGTTGGTTTTTTTGTTTACTCAGAAGCAGACAAGAAAACAGTAGACAGAAAATTTTAACCAACATTATCAAGAACCCGTTTTAGTTTAAGCAGGTGACAGAAACTCCATAACAATTTTAATTCACTCTCGGAACATTCGTTGCATGTAAGTGGCATTCAAGAAAGATTGCTTGATGTCCAAACTGCAGTGGACAGCTAATTTCCGATGTCTGTCTTCATATCTCCTTACAGGAGAACAATTTGATTAACCCCCCGGGGTGAAACTGAATACCATCTTTTTCCAGTTGGAAAGGGAGACTAGCAAGCCAAAAAACTATACCTCCCCCTGAACATTTTGTATCTTCCATTCTTAAAAGTAACATCATGAAATAGTTTAAGTATCCAAGTATGCTAACAGGTAACTTATGACAACCACCTCTGCATAGCTGTGTCCCTGTGTATCCAAATATTGAGTCTCTTCCTTACTAGTTAAAAAAATTCTGTGAAATACAATTTAAGTGGCACAATAGCCTGTAAAATTTTAAAGACTTTTAGAATGCTCCGTTATTTTAAGACTGAGGTATCAGATGCATTTATAAATTCAATTTTGAAAATCAACTGGAAAGTGTCTCTTCAGAGGTTATGGTGATGATAGAAAAGAATGCCAGTACTAAAGAAGCTTCTGTGCAGAAAACCAAACAATCAAAATCTTTATTTTTTGACAAGTTGGTACTACAGAATCATACTACTACTGTCAATATTATTAAAGAGAGTTAATCCATGTCAAAAATTTAGTCCTAGTTTTAAAATGTTGTATTTGATCAAGGCATACCAATCAATATAAAGTATTAACAACCTTCGTATGATTCCCCAGTGAAAAAACACAGGTTTAGTAATTCAAATCCTGTTCATTTATTTAGAAAAACATGTATTTGCTTTCTCTGTCCTTAAAGGTTTGCATTCTGTACTACTCTCCTGAAATACTTTCACTTGTCAATAATGTTATCGATCCTTACATAGTAGCCTTACTCACGCCTTTCTCAGAAAGAACATAATGTGAAAAGAAAGCATTAAACTGGGATAATAAAATTCTCTTTATTGATTAAAAATATTTCCATTTTGCATACATTCTGGTTTTTACCTGTTTTACAAAGAATCTGAAATCATTATTTTAGGACCCTCTACTGTTTTTCTGACCAGACTTATGCATAGCATTTCAACAAAAACTTCAGAAGCTAAGTAAGACTGATAAAACCAGAATATTTCAACTGTTTCGCAGGATGAATTAACTTACTTTGGAGGATGTAGAGTCACATTCCTGACAAATCCATCCATAGCCAGTCTGTTTAGGAGACTTTTTCAAGGGAGGGTCTAGACAGCCAAAATGGTAGCAAAGCCTGCATTCATCACACCTGCAACAGAAAAAAAAAAAAAAAAGATATAAATGCTACTTCTTTGCTATTTAAGACTGCGCTGCTCTGCAACTCTCGGCACAAGATTTCCCGATCCATTATCATGATACAGAAAATCCATTTTCTATAAGAGGTATTTTCAAACACAATCACTTCAAGTAGGTTCTGCCTAATTTGCAATATTCTCATGCAGACACTCATACATCAACTTTGCCTTCATCTTATATAAAAGACATTATTTCAGACACTTGCAAATTAATGAAAAAAAGGTATAATTAGCTCAATTTTTTGGATACTTCAATGTCATTCATTGCCATTTATTTTCAGAAATTTGTTATTTTTTAGACAGTGACAATATTGATTTTTCATCGTTTTAAGACACTATTTTACACATCCACTTTTTCAAGGAAATCTCTGTGAAATGTTCGCTCACATATTCAACCACTTGCCTTTTTCTGTGAGCTGCTATCTCTGTGTATAATTTACAGCTAAAAATTTTATTTTTTACACAAGAACTATGTGGTTGATAAATAAATGCATAAAATATTTTCGATTCACACTGAATTTTCTGGAAAGGGGCATTAATTGAACAGGATTTCACTGTGATCTTTCACTTATAAAACTGCGCTATGTATGCACAACAATTTTATGTGGTTTTTTAATAAACCTTTCATTAGTGTTTTGTACGATGCATGGTCCACATAAAAAGCTCAAGACATATAGCATAGCTATTGTTCACCCATTCTTAATGTGCCAGCATTGAAGGTATGCTACAATGTAACAAGTGCTTCAAGAAAGGACTTTTAGATCCGTACAATAATATGCTCAAAACGGGAAAAAGATTTTCAAAGCAAATAATAGAGATTTTCATGTATCCTACTGAACTTCACTTTATTTGCATACCCCCCTGTATTCTTTTGTGTGAAAAAGAAAGCTTTTCCAAATCTACTTTGCAATATTCTCTTCATTAAATGCCCTTAAAGTCTTAGTCAAAGCCAATATAAATGATCCAAAAATAGGAAACAGAGTAAATGTTTAAAAATAAAATTTTCGAAGAAATCCCCTACACTTTCTCCGCTTCCCTGGACACTCCTTTTCTCCTCCACAAAACACGCAAAGACAAAAATCACCAAAAATTGCAATAATAGCCTGGCACAGACATCATCAGATGAAAGAGAGAGGGCTGTAATTTATCAACAGAACACAGAGCGCATCACAGAAAGAGGATTCCACGAAGAGAACACACTGCTGCAGTAACGGAAGAAAATGTTCATGTGACTTTTCTTCAGGGCTTAGTCTCCAAAGAAGAAGGAGTAACCATTTTCTGATTACCATTGTTTAACCTAAGTAAATACTTCTTTCCTTGCTGCCAAGGCTGTGCTTGCTAGGGAAGCCTTCTGCTTTTCGCAGGTGTATGTCAGACATGAGCAGTGGTAAGGGTATCGCATGTCTTGTCTTCTGCTAAGAAGAAATTAAAAGCAATAATCTACCTATCCACAGTATGCAACACCGGCCTGACATGGTTTTGGTATTTTTACAAAATAGCATATACCATATTACAATCTATATCCTTAGGACTCTTCAGTAATAACTCAATCCTATTCCAGGACAAAGAAAACACTTAAAAGAGGAAACCATTCTCAGTTTTTTAAAGACACAAGAGTTCTAATGTAGAAATATATTACGTACAAACAGGAATATAAGCAGTTTTATTTCTTGTGAAAATCATACTAAAATAATAAAAAGTTTGAGACTGGGAGATGAGATAGGTTACTATCCTACATCCCAACAGCATATGTGACCTTCAGCAGAAGATGAAGCCTCCTTTGTTCTCATCTGTAAAGGTATATATTTTTACTAACCTATTTCTTTATCTAGAATCTTATTCAGGTAAGTGCCTGCATTTAAGCAGTGCTTATCAGAACTCTCTTCTTGTAAACTGTTTGGCATCCTCCAAGTAACACAAAATAAGGCATCACGCTATTCCTGACTGATTCAGCATATTTTCAAAACTTAATTCTAAAGTCTACATCTCACTTCAAACAGTATTAATTTAATTTTTTTCTGAAGTGATTGTCTATAAACATAAGTGTTTATACATTCAAAAGAAAATGTTTCCCCTTTAAAATTATGCTTTCCCATCCATTCTTACATCTTTTCCATTTTTTATCTTGAATGTGGTATTTCCTGACTGCACCTTCAGCTGCGTTTCAAGGTACACTGAGGGAGTTAGCAAGGCTGGGTTGAAATAACCAGAACTTTGCAAAATTAAATACAGATCTGGAGGCGCTATTCTAAAGCTGAATGTTTTTACTATTTACTGTCATTAATTTTTATCACTTCAAAGCTGTTTAGTTTGGCAGAAGAAAAATTGCATTTTCCTAAAATGAGTTAAAAATACCTATATGAAAGTTTTCAGGTACTAATAGCTTCTATCTGCATCTGCACAGCTGAGAAGATGCAAATAACAAAAGCATATTTTCATGTATCAAAAAATAAAAAGTTGTGTGGTGATAAAATGAAACTATATCAAATATTTTTAAACATTTCCTTCTTTCTGTTTTTTATTGGAATACAAATTCCGTATTGTGGAACACAAATCCACTGATTCTGAAGTTCCCAGAGCACGATGTTGGGAAAAGGGATGAATATACGCTGTTCCTTGATGCCCTACCTATCTGGCAACTCCCTTGTCTGCTGAGACGGACTTGGGACAACATGTGAACCTTACACATACCACAGTACAGAAAACAAAGTTGGCATTCTTAATTCCCGGTTCTGAAAGAAAACCTTACACCTAGATTAAAATGGCACTAGTAAAATGAGATTAAGCCCTCAAGTGTACGCTATTACTTGTGTTCTTTTGTCTGGCAACATAAAATGATGGAAAATCCACTGTCAGATTCAGAAAATAGGACAGCAACACGAAATAAGGAGTACTTTCAACTTAATTAGAGAATGAAATTGCTGGGTCACAAAAGGTGTCATACCGACAGTCCCACAGCCTTTTAGTAAATGCACCCACAGATCAGTCACAATACAGACATTTACAGCGCAAAGGAGCCACGTTGCACTGTCATTGGCAAATATCATCCACTTCCACCCTGAAGACGGCTTAACATCAAGTTAAACTTGGGCTGGGGGGGAGGAGGGGGGGGAAGAAACCACTTCCTCCATTTTAAAGGTTCAGTTAAATTTTTTACCCTTGGGGATCCAAGGTCACATCTTTAAAACAGTCCAAAACTAGCAAATATTTTATCTTGCTATTATTTGTGGATAACTTTTTTTGTAGTTAAGCACATGATTTACAAACGCAATTAAGTGCACAGCCACCTTCAGTGGCCTGGCTAGCAGTTGTACCAAAAACTGTGAAAATAAAAACAGACCTCCACGCAAAGACAAGCTAACCTAACCTCCTAAATTACCTCTAACTGACAGGTAATTGCTTACTATCAATGTTTTAACAAGCCTGAAATTACTTTATGCATCAAAATTAGAAATCGCTGTATTCCTCATTCCAGCAATTAATGAGGATAGATATATGCCCACTATATAGCGAGAAAATGGGGTGTGAAGAAGAAAGGTGAATTCTGAAGGAGTTAGGTTAATAAATTAAAAAAAAACCAACATTTTTCACTTATAAAAGTATAGAATGCAGGTCAGCTACATCTTCACAGCAAGAAAGCTTGATTAGGCATTTCCATACCTGAAGTACGTCTGCTTTGTTCTTTAATAAAGTGATCTCCATCTGCTCATGCCCTTGGATTGTTTTTATTAGTTTTTTAGCAGTACAGCTGGCTGTGCTCAAGCCCTACATCACTCTGCATTTTCCTGTTCATAATTAACTAATTATGCTCTAATCAATACTGTAGATACTGATTTTACAATGTAAATGAGATAAATGAGATAATGGCTGGGGTCAATCTCATTTTATTTACAAAAGCCCAGCGCACACATCCAATTTCATTACACTGCATCTACCTGCACAGGAGGGAGTCTTATCAGTTGGCCTGCAGAAGTCTTCCTGCGAGCACTGGGGAAAAAGACCTCTGCTTTTACAGAGGAACAGCGAATGCAAAACGTGCCCATCACGGGCACATTTGTAAGTCACTGGTTAATATCATTGAAAACCACAAAGAGCTGATTCAGCCAGAGTGAAGAAACCAATTTTGCATTCACAAGACAGCATCACCCATCTATAGCTGTAAAAGTAATTACCTACATGTCCCTGAAACACAACATTAATAAGCTAATCTTTAAATACAACTTTCCAAATATGCTTCAGAGACTACAGAAAATCTCTCACTTATGTACACATCATTGCACATCGTCTGCAGTGTCGTGCCAAAAGGTACCATGTTGAACAAAGTACAAAATTGCAAAATACAGATACGACTCCCTATTCATCACAACAGCTTAGAAAGATTTACTTTAATGGAAAAGAGATATGAAACTTTGATACATATTGACAAACCAGCATCACCATTAAAATTAGAGAACTTGTCATATAAGCCTTCGTTTGGCAAACTTAGAATTAATTAGAACAAACTTCAGAAGTCATCTAATCCAGAATTTTTGAAGTCTCCGAGACTCTGCAGCAGGATGGGTGTGCATTCCCTCACCCGTTAGCGGGGGAATGCAAACAGGATGGCTGTTCCAGCACCTCTGTGGATTTAAGTATTGACCTGCGTCTTTCCTTGTTGGCTTGTTCTGGACCCCACTTCTGACTAAAGGCTCTTAATGCCGGAAGAACAGTTGTTCCTTCTCAGGCACCGGTCTCTCTCCCCTTTCACCCCTCAGTGTCCCAGTGCTGGGCCACTCTGAAACCGCGAACAGCTGGAGGCATGCTTGGGGGCTCGTTTTAAATTGCAGCACATTCTTGGGTTCAGCTGAACAACTTCAAACCAGCTATGACAGTTTAAGGCACTGTTTCTTCTTAGTGGCTCTAGGATAGATCCAATGGAAAAGGGCATGTAAGCGTTCCCAAAAAAACAGCATAA